GTGCTCCTTGGGGGTAAAGATGGCAAAGCTTCGTCTCTTTGGCATGTTGCTAGGAGAGGCTGACTGTTCCTTGGAAAGGGACATCATACTTAGAAGAGTGGACTACTTAGAAGAGTGGAGGGTCAGTGAAAGAGAGGAAGACCCTACAATGACAGAGACTGGCACAGTAATTGTGGCAGTGGGTTCAAATGTGTCAGAGACGATGAGGACAGCACACGATAGTCTACAGTTCATAGGGTCACTATGAGTTGTACTCGACGGCATCTAACCACCACTACCACATTTTCAGGTATTAAAAAAAACCAAAAACCAAAAAGCAATGGACTGCCATCAGTGGGCCCTACTCGTGACAACCCTCCATCAGGTTCCGTGGGCAATTGATCTTCACAGTACAGAGACTGCCCATCTTTGTCCCCTAAAGGCACTGGTGAACTCAAACCTTCAGTCTTTAGGTTTTAAATGCACTGTGCCACCAGGGCCCCTTCCTTTTCCAGGCAGAAGCTATATAACAAAAAATATTAATAAATCAATGAACATGGTAACAAGAGTTAGTAAAATTGATCACAGTGGAGATTCAAATGTCACAAGAGAACAGCCAGACACCAGCCAAAGGCTGCATGAGACTGAAATGGTCACATCAGCACAGAGCAAGTACCCCAAGGCCTAGCCAGCCTTGGAGCAGTCAGGTACACCACTTCTGGGATCCCTGGTGGTATCACTTACAGGGAGTTAGTTCTTCATTAAAATTTGACAGTATTTTTATAGTTTAAAAGAGAAGTTTTCCCAGCTTACAAAAAAAGGAACACAAATTATGTTGTTATTAGCGGCTAATCATATTGAGACCTGATTTATGGGGAGCCAACACAGTGACAGTCAATAATGCCTGGTCCTCTGTCACTGGCCCCCATCATTAGTGGAGCTCCTGTGAGCTGCTGGGTTTTCAGAAGCAGACCTCCACACCTTACTTCCTACTCCGTTTTGCTCAGAAGCTCTGCTGACACCTTCTCAGCATCAGAACACAAGCCTGAGCTGACAGGTCGGTGATGCCCCACACAAAGGCGCATCTCATGGGCTGGGAACCTGTGTCTCCTACACAAAAAGTGAGACTTCTAGCACAAAGGCACCACTCCCCCCAAACAAGAACAACTCAAAACCCCCAAAACATACTTCAGGGACATAACAATCATGTTTGCATTTACCTAACAGTAGTTAAAAGGTACAGGAGTCTAGTTATGGTAATGAATACATGTCTGCAAAATGAAAACAGTAATCAAATCGTGGAATAATTATCTCTGCATTTTTCTAGATGGATAATCATAGTTTTCCCCAAAACTCCACACCAGGATCAAGTAGAAGTAAATAAATTCTTGTTGGCTGAAAAACACCTGCAAGAGCTGGGTTCCCTTTACTATAAAGTGAGGAAATAACACTCCTTGGAAAACTTTAAGCTAAATTGTGTAAACTGAAGAAGTAATTAATTACCCTGCATTTATATGGGGAAAAAATTTGTGTGTTCCCAGATTAAAAAAAAAAATAAAATAAACTACCAAATCATACCAAATAACACATAAAACTTAAAATAACCCTAACACGCAGTGTTCGCAGGCAGTTCAAAGCTATGGTGGCTTGAAGCTGAGATGCTGAGCATAGTTCCAGAGGCAGGAGCCGGGCAACACCACTCACTGCTCAGTGTGGGCTCTGCCTTTTTTAATGGCTCACTGAAAAGCAAATACTACAATGCTAGTTTTGCTTTTCACCTTTTTTCTCCCTTAAAAGTGAAAATCCTCTTCAGATTTCTCTGTTAGCAAAACCAAGTGCTATATAGGTCTTTCATAAAAGAAAACTGGCATAAAGTGAACTTGGGGGGGTAGGGGTAGGGTTCTATAGGATTCCTGAACCAGACTATCAGGAGAGTTGAGCTCACTGAGAACCAGCTCAGTCATTCAGCTTGGCTAAGGCCAGCAACCCACCTGGGCACAGATGAGGCATAGGAGGACAGTGTGACTCTGTGAGCTCTACCATACCTGGGTGACCAGCTAGATGCAATTCTCTTAATTAATCTCCCTGGGTTTTAGTTTCTTAATATGCAAAATGAGCAAGTTAAACGAGCTCTCTAAGGCCTAAACAGTCAAAGATGTGCTAATGCTTAAAAACTAATTTCTATGTGACAATATCATTGGTTTTCTAATTCTATTTATCATTTTATCATAAAGATGTAATTTCATCTCATATTACTAATATGTTGAAAGAGCAAAACATAAGTGTTTTTAATTACCTCTCCAGCTCTTAATCATTTCACTATCAGCTATGGGCTTCTGTCATGACTGTAGCCTGTATAATATCCAAATTGAAATAAATCATCATATCTTGTAGTTTGCAGGAGAATTCTGTCATTATCTGCTCTCAAATTCTTTTTAACATCTCCAGTCATCTTATAAAAGATTTCTTAAAATCAAAACTTAGACTTTTTGCCTTTTAGAAAAATGAAAGGAAATTTTCTCTCCCAAACTAATAAAGCCTAGAAACTTCATAAGATTTAACATTAAATCCAGTTACTTTAGAAACTACACGAAAGCAATGCCTTTTTAAAAGAGAAATCCAATGTGTCCATCTGAACAAACAAGACAATTCAAAGAGTCACATGAGGCCAATGTGCTCTGGACATTAACTCAACACCTCATCACCCAAAGTATCTCTTCTCCATCCTTGTTACTGAATTTAGCTCTGTGATCAACATTTATCTGTGAACTTGTTCATTTACATGCAGAAATCATTTGAATATCAGAAATGAATCAACTTTCTAACAAACCAAAGCTTTAAGAGCCTCTTTGGGTTTAGGCTTTTTTGTTGGTAATCACACTGCTCTGCCCTAACGAAGCATTTTCATTCTTGTGATGTCTTATGGATATTTATAAAGCAGACAGAGTGACTGCTATCAAGGTTGAAAGGCCATATTCAGATGAAAAAAATAAAAAGTTAACTTCTATCCTGGCAGCTAAGTGCCTTAACAGTTAAATTCAAATCTAACTTAAATTCAAATATCTACCTATACTGTACTAGATGGCATACCCCTTGAGGGACCGTCTGCCTTATTTATTATTCTTACATACTGACAGATTGCCAATGTCTGCTGAATCAAAATTAACTTAATAGGACTGTCAGCAGAATCCTCACTCAAGCATTGGGAATATAATACAGAGAATTCTCAATCTGAATGAACTAGACTCGACGGCACATAACAACAACAGTATAAACCTATGGTTATGCAGAAAGGGCCAGGAGTACACTCAGACTGCTCCATTATAGGTGAAAATATTATTCTTGTTCTTTGCCCTAATTTCTTAAAAACTACAAGTACTGCATGATTGGCTTTGCATCTGTGTGAATAAAAACTTGTAATATTTACCTGATAAGCATTATAAAAGTAGTTCTCAAGTATTCATTTTAACCTCAATAAGATACTTTTAGGTAAACCTATAAAATTTACATTACAATAGAAGTGTTGCTAATGTCCTATGAGTGAAAAGTCCAGGTGGATCTACAGAAGTATTATTTTAAAACTACGTTATGGGAGTATTATTTGATATTTACCATTTACATTCTCAGCGTGGGAAAAGATTATGATCAAAAGAAGAAAACACACTCTCAGTAACTTATTCTACCCCCCCACCCCCGCCGTACTATGGTAGAAAATAATTTTCTTTTATAAATAAATCAAGTGATCAAACTAGTGTAACACAGCTTGTATTGATATACCAATTTTTTTTTAAAGCCCACCTTATGTCTTATTTAAAATTCATTTAAAGCTTGAAAGTATACACCTAAGACATAATTCATCAATTCACTAATGGAGGTGGGGGAAAATGGCAAGAGAATATGCATGCTAAAAACCATAGTGCTAAAACCAATCCAGATCCTTAAGGAAATTCACCTGTTACAAGCCTCACAAAATCCGTTGTTTATCGGCAAGTTGCAAAAAAACAGGGACTGTCATATTACCACTGTTGGACAAAATAAGAAAATTTAGCTCCTAAAATGTGCTGTACCAGCTCCTTTCCACTTGAAAATTCTGTTTGCTTTGTAACTTTTTTGTAACGTACATATTTTTCAGATGGGGAGAACTTTTCATGAGCAAACTGCAAGACAAAATGTCTTCTACTTGTTATTACCTAGAAGAGCAAGACCAAGCCCCACTCCATGCCCCAAACATCTAACTTTCAGCCTCTTTATTATCACTGTCAATGAATGAGCCCCAGTCAAATGAAAGCTGCCATTTTAGGGTAAAGACTGGAGGGCGTCTGTTGTGCAACAGCAAGACAAAAACACTCGGCGACAGATGTACTCTGGGGGCTGGGAAATGGGCTGCAACTTCATAAAAATCGCTGCCCAAGTTATTTCTGAAATAGGAATTACAGAGTGCTCACACATTACTGCAATCTGATTATAACAAGGGTAAATCAGGTCTCATGTTGCCACCGCTCACAGTCACTAAGAGTTTTTTTGATCATCGTTAGATCTACGAGGAAATAAAAAGAAACATTTTTACTCTGTTTGAAACATTTTTATTCTACACCATCGCCACCCTTTTCAGGACAGAATTAGAGAAAATACATTTAACCTCTGAGAAAGACGGCCCACTGCAAAAACGGCTTAAATTATTATTTTCAGAAAATAAAAATCAGGGCCTTCACATAATCCTTTTACTATAAAATTTAAATGTTTTATATAGTCCACAAATCTGTGCCAAGGGATAAACACATTTAGGGCTAAGTTACTCAATCGACTTGCTAAATAAGATACAATGGGAAACTAAAAAGTATACTTAGCAAGTGGAGAGCTGGATAGTGTATCTAATTCTAGCAATTCAAAAGGAAACTCTCCATGTGGGTAGCTACTTTTCTTTTGTCCATTGTCTGTTCAGAGGGAAGGGGGAAAAAATAGTTTAAAACCCCAAGCGTGAACAGTCTCTAAAAGTGACCTCCGGAAAAACCGCCCGACCCATGGCAGGAGCACTCCCCGCGCCGCCCACTCAACGGGGCGCTCACAAAGCAGGCGGCCGGCTAGAGTTTGGGGTGCGCTCCCACTGCGCGGGGCTCCCCGAGGCAGAGCCATCCGGAGAAAGGCGGCTCGATAATGATGGCTGCCCGGAGCCCGCGGCTCCTTCCCCGGGGCCTCCCACCGGGTGTGCGCCCCCGCCCGCGGCCATCCCATGTCACGGCGACAGCCCCGCACCACGGCCACCCTGCGCCCCGCCCGCGCCCCGCGAGCTCAGTCCCCGGTGCGAAGCAAACAAACAACGCGGCCCCGCCGCCCTCCTTCCTCTCCCCACTGACCGCTTGGCCTCCAGCCACCTTGGCCGTTCACGCTCAGAGCCACGGCTCTGCGCGGGGGGCAAGCGCACCCAGGGCACTTCGGGGGCCACCTGGAGACCCCCCCAGGAGCTGACCCTCGGCGGGCGGGGCGCCGGTTGGCTGCGCTGCTCTGGGGGCGAAAGTCTCTATTATGCAGACGACGACGACGACGCCAGTCCGGCCAGCTCGGCAAGGTGGGGTCCCCTGCGCGTCGCGCCTCTCGGCCCGCTCCCTTTCTTCTCCTCTGCGCGCACTTGGAGCCACCAGGAGCCCTGGGACTCCCTGCTTGGGCTTTCAACTCCGGCGCCGCCGTGGCCCCAGCTCGAACTAGGACGCTCCTGGGACCGCATGTTCGTGTCGCCCCCGTCCCACGCGGCAACGCGCGCACCTTCCCCGCTCCGACCCACCTCGCCCGGGCGTCCCCCCGCGGCCAGCGCCGCCGCGCCAGGAGGGAGGCACTTTGTTCGCGCCGGTGCGCAGCGGCCGCCGGCGAACGCGGCGTGGTCGGTCCGGGAGGGGGCGAGGGTCACCGCTCCCGAGCCGCCGCCGCCGCTGCCGCTCAGCCAGCCCGCGCCCGCGCGCCCATCGCCCGCTCGCCTGGAGTTGGAGCTCAACTTTTCCTTCCTTTTTCTCTCCCAGGGAACCGGCAACTCGTGCTCGGCGCCGGCGGGAGGACACGCGCTCGCGCTTCTCCGCGCGCAGACACGCTCCCTGCGCTCCCCGTGCCCCCCCACACCGGCAGCACAACAAAAAGCAATTTACATGCGAGGAAGTGACCCTCGGCCGGACCGCGCGCCCCCGCCGCCTGCGAGCTCAAGCGAAAGTTGGGGCGCCGGGCAGCGCTCGGGCGCGGGTTCGGGGCTCGCGGGCGGCGCTGCGCTCCTGCCGCCCCTGTCGCCCCAGCCCTCCGCACACGCCCAACTCCTCGCTCCCAACTCCGCGCTGGCCCAGCCTCGGCTCCGAGCGGTTTCCTGCCGCCGCCGCCGCCCCTCCTGGGCGCACGGCGAACTCTCGCGCTCACCGGGTCGCTCGGGCTCCTCCACTGCCAGCGCCGAGGAGAAAACAAAACGTAGAGCGAGATCCGGAGTTGGCTCGGCGGTCGGGGGCTGAATGCTCGGGCGCGGAGTTGGTTGAGGCACACGGGCTCAGTCGAGTTTCGGGGTCTCCTAGCCCCCGGGCCGTCTGCTCCGCGGTGCTCCTTTGTGTAATTTCACTCGATCCAAGTTTAATCCGATAGTTCCCGAGCACGAGCGCGTCCGCACCGCCACGGCTCAACCCCCGCGC